CTCAGGGTCCTGGGATCGAGCCCCGCATCAGGCTCTCTGCTCAACAGGGAGCCTGCTTCCTCCTCTCTCTCTGCCTGCCTCTCTCCCTGCTTGTGATCTCTGTCAAATAAATAAATAAAATCTTTAAAAAAGATTTTTAAAAAAGAGGGTAAGTTGACAAGTGACCACAAACAATTAAAAAAAAGAGAGAGAGAGAAAACTCACTCACAAAAATGGCTGACACCAAAATGGCCACAGATCCTCACGTCATTCCAGTTTTAGTCTGAATGCTGTACCCCTTCCTGAGTTTCTGAGTTTCTTCGGCCCTTTAGGGTACCAAGAAGGAACCCAAAAGACACAAGCCCGAGTGAAAGGCCCCTTTCGCCAACACAGCACTTTCACCCATATTGGGCCAGTACCCTCACTCGGGTAGGGTAGACATTCTTGCTCCTTCTATGTGTGAAGATGCGAGGACTTCTCCCTCTGTTTTTCTCCTCACACCTGCCTGATTTCTCCATGTCCCATTTGGAAAAAGCAATCCCAAGAACCCCCTTTTATTGCGCACTTTAACCTCCTAAGTACATACTACATGTGCAAAGCGTTACACCAACGTGACCAAGAGGGACAGATCGTGACCATTCGAGCTTACATTCTAGCCAGCTGTCAACCAGACTTGGCTTGAAGAACTTGCCTCCTCTGCCCCCAGACTTCAGTTAAAAACCTCCAGCTCTTACACATCCGTCAAAACCCATACCGAGGTGTAGTCTTTTTCACCAGAGAACGAGGGCACACCGTCTCTCCAGACGTTAAACATTTAAACATAATGTGGACGATACGTAATGAAGAATATTTAATATGCCTTGAGGAAGAAAACAAACGCTGAGCGTGAAGGGCCCATGCGATGACTGTGCCAGGTGTGTCGGCCGAAGCCCCCTCAGCGCTGGGAGACAGGATGGGGCATTTCGCGTTATGAAACTGAACTCACACAACCGAACCCAGGCAGAGGCACAGTTGTCTAGAAAGTAGAAGACAGGAAATGTAGCCCAAGGAGCATTTCTTTCCCTCTGCAATGAACTCAGAGCTGTCCGAATCACTTAGTGAAAACCTAAATTACTACCGTAATCATCAACCTCTCAGTAACAATCTCTCCTAAGTTAACACCCACGTCAAAGCCCTCATCTACGGAGACCTGCCCGTGGCCTGCATTTATAATCCTAGCTTTTCAACTCTAGTCCGTGGGGTGGGAAAACCCTCGAGTCGTCCCTATTTGGGTAGTGGTGGACCTGGCTTATTTAGCTTGCTTCTCCAGGGTGAGCCCCCAATTGCTTCTGCCACATTCCTGAGCAAAGCGGCACAGAGAGGGGCCTGTTTCCTAATACTTCATCATAAAGCCGCTGCTCACTGCGATGGCCACATCGCTGGCTGCTGCCCAGGGACGGCATCTGCATTCATAAGCTGCCCCGCGCGTCTCCGAGCCCCCCCAGATACAGGTGATAAGCATACCTGTCCAGTCACATTTATCATCTGGTTTCCCCGGGAAATCACATCCAAGAGTATTCAAATAGGCTTCCAAAAGCACTGGGCTACTTCTTGCCCATGTTCTATTTCTCATTTTTGAAATAATGAGTAAAGCAGAAATCAGTGGGATGACGGCACAGGTAATTGAGATTTTAAATGGTTCTGGCCGAGAAGAACTGACCTGCCAGCATCGATTTGAGGTTCTGACAGCAGGGTGAAGGGACCCAGCTACCCCTCCCCATTACCTAAATACAATCAAACAATAGAAGCAAACACCATAGGCCAGAGGTTCTTAAACTGAGACCTATGGACAGAACTATGTGTCCCTAAACTTGAATGGGTAAACATTTCTGTCTTTACTTGCGCTGACCTCTAGCTGAAATGTACTAACTTCCTTTAAGCATGAACATAGGTAACAAACTGTATTAGTGCTGGCGCTACCTGGGACTTTGTCAATAAGAGAAATCAGATGCATTCTTACCATTTCATTTGCCACAGGTCTTATAAATATTTATGTTCATTACTACTCCAAAAATTATGGTATCTGATCCACCACAAGATCTAGCAATGTAAGAAGTTATTACAGCACAAATATTGTCATTAATTTTTTAAAAAATATAACCCGTTTCCTTATAATTAATCATATCTACTTGATATATTAAAAAACAGGTTTCAAACAGCCAAAGAAGTCCAAGGTACTCAAAAAAAAAAAAAGTTTAAGAACCCCTGTGGTAGGCTTATAGACAGCCCACTCGGAATGCTAGAACCTAGATTCAAATCGTGACTAGCTGTGGAACCCCTGGGGTACTTTTCACATTCTGACTACCAGCCTACTCGGTGAGAGGAACAGTGAATTCACCAAGTTATTTTAAAACTGAGCAAGATAATGTAAATAAAAGGGTTTTATTAGCCCAAAGCACAGGGATATAAAAGATTATTTAGCACAAAGACACTCAGCAACACAGTGATGGAAAGAGGTGGTTTCTTCATGGCTACATAGCGGCTCCTATCAAATGATGAGGCCCGACTCGCCTCTGGAACAGTGAGTGCCACGGCAAGTGTCATTCCAGACTGGGTATGGAGCACCGCCACAGTGGAAATCAGCAGACCACTTCCTTCATCAAGTTCAGCTGAAGTAAACCAAAGCACTTAGAAAACCAAGAACTGGCCAAAGGACCACACTCTGAGTTGTGCCGCTCTCCAGGCTCAAATACAGGCCAGTGACATGTGACCTCACACACACACTTCTTCACCCAATCCCAAGAGTCATGGGAATGGAACAAAATTCATCAATCTGAGGCAGACGCAAATTCCTATCAGTAACAGTTAACGCGAGCAAGGGCATGAGTATTCAACCTTTTTATTCTGACATCCGCACTGCCCGTACCCTGTGAAGTTAACCCAGCCTTCCTCCAGCCCACCGTTAATCAAGCTTTTAAGATATTCAATCACCCTCTCCCTCTGTCCGTCCCCAAGCTTGCCCTCTCTCAAATAATAATTTAAAAAATTCATTAAAAGGGGGGGGCACCTGGGTGGCTCAGTCGGTTGAGCACCTGACTTTTGATTTGGGCTCAGGTCGTGATCTCGGGGTCAGTCATGGGACTGAACCCCACGCTGGGCTCCGCACTCAGCAGCGAATCTGCTTGTGATTCTCTCTGCTCTCTCTCAACTTAAAAAATATTGCATAAAACATTCAATAGCATTTGAAGGAGAAAGCAGCATTTTAAAAAATAAACCAATTCTTGGTTTCTGCTCATGTGTTGAATGGAATTTCTATTACAGCCAGTATTTTTCCTTAATTAAAAAGTGGCTGTAAGATAGGATGTTATATTATTTTCGATTACCTATAGATCATATAAAGCAAAACACCCATTAAAGTAAAATAATAGTTTAGATCTAATAGTTTAGATTGTATTACATTTCCTTAAAATGCCGCAAAAGTAGAGGTTGTTTTTAGCTCTCATAGTTCAGTTTGCCTCAACAGTTACGAAAATGTTCAAAAACAGTAAGGCATCATCCTTTCTCCAAGACAATGGAATGAGCAGGGTCGGAATCTACATCACCCCCAGCAAGTATCTCGTTTCCCTCTCGCTCCCATAGCGCACCCCTTACTCTCTCCCAAATGCACCTCTGTGGGTCTGGTACAGCCCTCTCCCTCTCAGCTCTAACTCTTGGCTCTGGCGGCACGAAGTGTGTCACCAGACTTAGCCCTGAGTTCAGCCTGGGCACCGAGCTAGCCCTCAAGTATAAAGTTATGCCCCACATATTCGTAACACCATATCCAGACAGCAGACAGACTTGGTTTCTTTCCTAATATGGAAAAAAAATCCAAATCCGCTAAGCTAAAATGGTGTTCTAATGGTTATAATACCACCATTTTTAATCTCACATGGTAGGCAAATACAAAGCCTTTGCAAAGCATTCTAGAAGTTGTTCGGGGCGAGGTAGGATTCTTAATGTCTACCGATGATGTTTTTAAGCTCTGTGCACAAGAAAAATATTTACTGAGAGCCAATCTAGTTCCAACCTGACTAACTCTCCCTTTATTGTTATTGTTTCTTCTCCCATGCCAATCCAGTTAAAAAAAAAAAAAGACAAGTCGGCATGCACTCATTTTTTAAAGAGTATCTGCGAGAGGGGCGCCGGCTGCCTCAGACAGTAGAGCATGGGTGGGAGTCTTTATCTTTGGGTCTTGAGTTCAAGCCCACATTGGTAGAGATTACTTAAAAATAAAATCTAAAAAAAAATGAAAACAACAAAACAATTTAAAAAAAACCATCTGTTAGACAAACCTATCTTGAGAGGAAGGATGTTCTGGGTTGACACTAATTCTCTGTCAACACACACACTGAGTATTTACATTTTTAATGCTTTGCTTACTGCAAATTCACCATACATGAACTCAATCCCTTGATATAGCATAAACCTTTTATGAAAACAATATAGCCACTGATGTCTACTAACCGGAGTCAGTAGACCACTGCCCCGATGTAGCTTGTTATCCACAAACATGTTACCAAGCCTTTACTTGCCTGCATGCCCCTAGGGGAGTTTACCCTCTCTTGTTGGGCATCTCTCCACAAACTACCATCCTACCTCTGTGCATCTAAAAATCTTCTTAAAAAGTTTCACTGCAGCAATCCACAATGCTCTGTATTTCCACATCTAACACACTAGTAAGAGTGGGAATAAAAGTAAGCTTCTGACTTTGAACTTTACAGTAAGGCCAAATCTTTTCCTATCCTCAGGTCAATTTTATAATGAAGAACTGGCGAATGTAATAGGTTGTGTATCATTTACCACGGTGGTAAATGAAGTCATTACTACTGTTCAAGAAAGGCCCTAAGGCCATCCCGTTATAAAGAGATAAATCGCACTGAGTGATAGAGGAGAACTAAAAAAAGACCAGGGGATACCTTTGTTCTGTGAGATCAGCAGTGAGAAAGTGGGGACCTGGCTGAAATAAAACAACAAACACATGAAATTTCTCATTTATAATTTTAATCGAAGCATTACTATTCATTTTTTTCTTAACTCTTTCTTATAAGCACCAAATTTTAATAGCTAAGTCAATTTTTTGGGAAAAGAAACACCATCAAAGAACTTCCCTCCAGAACAAAACAATGATGTTCATTCCTCCAAATAGCCAAATTCGAAGTCTACCGAAACAAAAAGAAAAGGCCCACACACACACACACAAAAAGTAACAAAAATCACATTCTAGGGGTTCAGTGCATTTAGCAGCCTTTGCTGTGCTGTCTAATCATCCTTCAGCTGACTTTCAAAAAAAATTAACACCCTAGCACATCAAAATATACATTTTCCATTTGCTTTGTTTAAATTAAAAATAATAATTAAAAAAAGAAAACTTGAAGGAAATCACAATCAATTGCCTGACTCATTTCGATGTCATGTACAGCACACATGATTAGGAGATTGGTCTTCAAGGTTTAGCTTTCTTCCAAACAGTGTAAAATACCCACCTGGACAGGGAGTCAAGGAATAAAAGCAGGTAATTCAAAGGAGGACAGACAGCACTTAGAATTTGTTTGCTGGCCTACAAACTGGAAGACGATGAGTTTCATGGCTGAAAGCACTGCGGTGATGGGAATTAAGTCCTCTTAAGAAGGCCACGTTTCGGGGCACCTGGGTGGCTCAGTGGGTTAAGCCTCTGCCTTCGGCTCAGGTCATGATCTCAGGGTCCTGGGATCGAGCCCCGCATCGGGCTCTCTGCTCGGCGGTGAGCCTGCTTCCCTCTCTCTCTGCCTGCCTCTCTGCCTACCTGTGATCTCTCTCTCTCTGTCAAATGAATAAAAATTAAAAAAAAAAAAGAAAAAGAAGGCCACGTTTCGGCCTGGACGCCTCCCACCTGTGACCGGGACGCCGGTGGGGTGAAGGGAGCCCAGTGGAGAAAAGGCTAAAGGCATACAAATACTCCCTCGGGTGACGATACCACTTCCTAGGTCTTAAAATGTTTTAGGGAATGAGTATGACAAGGAAGGGTGGGAGGGAAGTGAGAGATTGGGGGGGAGGGCTAAGGGGGGGGAATGAGAGGGAGGAAGAAAGAGGAGGAGAAAAAGATGGAAGGATGGAGGGGAGTCAGAGGTCAGAAGCCTTTTCTCCAAATGTTATCAACTGATTGCTACAGCCTCTCAATACATAAACAGATCTGACTACAAAAATGTTCCAAAAGGAAACCGTGATGAAGGTGGACGGTTTGGAGGGGGAGAGAGGTCAAGGATCTCCACAGGCCATGGAAGAAAATGGCCGCCCCACAGACAGACTGCACCCCTCTTGCAGGGGGACCTAGGGAGTTTCCTAGGGCCTGTGTCTCTGTCAGAGGCTGCCGGGGCTTGCAGGCAAGGACTTCCCTGAGGGCCAGCGGTAGTCACAGGATCCTAGTAGTCACAGGACCCTAGACAGCAACGAAGACTGCTGTGACAGGAAACTGGACTCCAGAGCCTCAGATGAGGAAGTTGTTTTTTTTTTTTTTTAAAGATTTTATTTATTTATTTGAGAGAGAATGAGTGAGAGAGAGCATGAGAGAGGAGAAGGTCAGAGGGAGAAGCAGACTCCCCAAGGAGCTGGGAGCCCGATGCAGGACTCGATCCTGGAAGTCCGGGATCATGACCTGAGCCGAAGGCAGTCAGTCGCTCAACCAACTGAGCCACCCAGGTGCCCAGATGAGGAAGTTTTTATCTGGAGACCAGAGTCTGCTTTAGGAGGAAGAGAGGCATTTTAAATTTCCAATGACAGGGGACGCCTGGGTGGCTCAGTTGGTTGGGCGGCTGCCTTCAGCTCAGGTCATGATCCCAGCGTCCTGGGATCGGGTCCCGCGTCGGGCTCCTTGCTCAGCAGGGAGTCTGCTTCTCCCTCTGCCTCTGCCTGCCGCTCTGTCTGCCTGTGCTCACTCTCTCTGACAAATAAATAAAATCTAAAAAAAAAAAATTTCCAATGACAATCCTCATTCTGGTTTTTCTCTGGACTAACTTTACTAACAGGAGCTAATGAACAACACCAATATTAGCTCTGCAATCCCACACGTTATTTTTAGCTCTTGGTTTCTAGTGCAAATCGGGATCAAGTGAAGTGTAGAAACTAATATTAAGGTGGGATTAATTTTAATATAAAAGTCGAATGAGCATATTCATTCTTTCTGCCTGCTCCAGCTCAGGGGAACTTTCGAATAGAGCTTCTGAAACTTTAGATGCACAACAGTGTCCAGGCAGGCTAGTTAAGATGGCTCAGCGGCCTGGGCACCTGGGTGGCTCAGCGTCTGCCTTCAGCTCAGGTCCGATCCCAGAGCCCTGCATCAGGCTCCCTGCTCAGCGACGAGCCTCTCCTTCTGCCTGCTGCTCCCCTGCCTGAGCTTGCTCGTGCGCTCGCTGTCATATGAGTAAATAAAATCTTTAAAAAAAACAAAAAACGAAAAACAGATGGCTCACCAGGCCTTAAAGCTCCAGCCTCTGCTGGCTGGGGCTTGAGAACGAGCCCGGCTTAATCAGTAAAACTACCTGGGGAGCTGTGGTAGGGAGCTATGGCAGGCCATACCCCAGAAGCGGAGGGTGGGACCCAGGAATCAGGACTGTTTTCAAGTTTCAGGAAATGGCAATGTGCAGCCACATCTGAATACCATGGCCGTTATATAGTACAGCGCTAATTCCATCTGTGATTGGACTGAAATGTTGAAGTGGCATGGGATTTACTTGGGTGTTGTGATCTGGCAACACAGTGTTATGGTCTAAGGATACAATTCCAAGTATGAAGGAACACAGACGATCTCCTTTGAGAATTCCACAGGACAATACAGGCGCCCGAGCTGTTCTTCATAGAGCGACAAGGCTTCCGTCAGATTGACACAGTTACCCTAAATCAAAGAGAGAAAAGCAAACAATGGGATTCTTGAGTCTCACTGAGGGTCCCCCCGGCTCATATGAATATCTCTAAACAATGAAAACAATTCCAGCTTTAACTGAAAGTTCATCTTTGAAAATGAGATAAGGCTTCTGTACTTTGACAAATTGTATTCAGTTCTACTTACAGATCCATTAGCTCATTTTTCTTCTACCTCGTTTATCAAGACACTTCAAATGATTCGGCGTATGAAGCAACAGAAAGCAGGGAGACCACTTTCTCACCAGTAACACAGTCATTGTATTAACACCATGCAATGAGCAAAGATGCATACACATCGCCGTTCAAGATGTTTGCCCCATCATCACCACGGCGTTGAGAAAGCATCAGAATGATAATGTTCTCGATTTCCAGAATGGCTTAAAACTACAGCCCTAGGGGTGCCTGGGTGGCTCAGTGGGTTAAAGCCTCTGCCTTCGGCTCAGGTCATGATCCCAGGGGCCTGGGATCAAGCCCCGCATCGGGCTCTCTGCTCAGTGGGGAGCCTGCTTCCTCCTATCTCTCTGCCTGCCCCTCTGCCTACTTGTGATCTCTGTCTGTGAAATAAATAAATAAAATCTTAAAAAAAAAAAACACAAACTACAACCCTAATCTAAGACAATGACACAGAACTATAGTCACATCTCCATGCTTTCCCCCAAATATGTAATTTGAAGGCCTACAGGAACGAACGTTTATTCAGAATATATGTATTCTCAATAACTAAGTGAGTAAATAAATAAAGAATATCCCACAATTCCACTCCTTATCAAACATCTCTTGACTTCGCTGTTTTAATTTTTCTCCCTTTCTTGCCACCACTTTTTCAACACCTCCCACAGCACCCCCCAGCAGCCAA